AGCCGAAGTCAGATGCTTAACCAACTGAGCCCCCCAGGCGCCCCAACAACTTTACCAAATTCATTTATTAGTCATAACAATTTTTGAAGGGAGGATTAGGGTTTTCTATGTATAATATCATGTCACCCACAAACCATGACAGTTTTAAATCTTTCTGATTTGGATGCCTCTCATTTCTTTTTCTTGTCTGATTGCTGTGGCTAGGACTTCAACACTATGTTGAATAAAAGTAGCAAGGGTGGGCATCCCTGTCTTGTTCCTGATCTTGGAGAAAAAGCTGTCAGCTTCTCAGCATTGGGTACGATGTTTGCTGTGGGCTTGTCATGCATGGCCTTCATTATATGGAGGCGTGCTCCTTGTATACCCACTTTGTTGAGACTTTTTATCATAAACCAATGTTGTATTTTGTCCAGTGTTTTTTCTGCATCTGTTGACACCATCATATGGTTTGTATTTCTATCCACTCAAAATGCTCAGCACCCACCAAGGAAGAATGTTTGCCTTATTTTCTTCTTTTTGCTCTTAGGATTTACTGTAGCTTTTTTTTTTTTTTTTTTTTTTTAACATTTATTCATTTTCGAGAGACAGAAACAGAGCACGAGCAGGGGAGGGACAAAGAGAGAGGGAGGCACAGAATCCGAAGCAGGCTCCAGGCTCTGAGCTGTCAGCACAGAGCCTGATGCGGGGCTCGAACTCGCGGACCGTGAGATCATGGCCTGAGCCGAAGTCAGACGCTTAACCGGCTGAACCACGCAGGCGCCCTTTTACCGTAGCTTTTTAATAGCAGTGCAAGAGTGTGGAAAATGGAGGAAAGCCGTCTCACTTTCACAAACCCACGCCTGCCACGTGTACTTCCTGTCGGCGTGCGCTGAAAGCTGTAGTGTTGACATTGCGTAATGGTCGTGTGGGCTCCATTCTGCATTCCCAGGTGAATCTTTCTGCACCCACAGGCTAGAGGGATGTTCTCTACCCAGCTCCCACCTTGGGAGATGTTCTCAAGTGGGTAGGTGACTGAGTGCGTGCATACAGTACACCTGGAAGCACTTTGAGGCCCGAAGAGCCCAGGACGGACACATCTGTGTGACAGAGGCTCTGATGACCCCCTCCCTGTGGTCCCGGCCACCCTGAGGGGGGACGTCGTGGCCTATGTCAGGACTGCATTTGAGAAACCATTTCAAAATGGGTCTCGTGGCGAGTGACTTAATTAGTTTGCCGGGGGTTTGTGGGGGTTTGTTGGGGCCTCAACAGCAAGCTGCCTCCAAGCTTTCGCTTAATTAATACTTGGTGATGAGCTCCAAGGCGGGACCCTGTTTGACAGGGGGTCCATTCTCTGCCACTCTGTTCCTTACTCTTATTTTTTTTATGTTTATTTATTTATTTATTTTGAGAGAGTGAGACAGACAGAGAGAGGGTGAGCAGGGGAGGAGCAGAGAGAGAGAGAGAGAGAGGGAGAGAGAGAATCCCAAGCAGGCTCCACATTGTCAGTACAGAGCCTGACACAGGGCTCGAACTCACGAACCGTGAGATCATGAGCTGAGCCGACTGAGCCACCCCGGAAGCCCTACCGCCCTCTCAAAAGCCACAGAGCGGCCGGCTTCCGGCTGATGCTGAGGAGCCCCTTGCTGAAGCCCCGGGGTTGCTGATGAACGTGGCGTTCTTTTTGCTCTGATAAATCATTTAAAACACCATTTCTGCAGCCTTAGCTTGTCATCAACGCTGTGCATGTGACGAGTGAACGATGAGGGTCTCTGTGCCCCTTTTCCTCTGCCCTCTTCTTCCTGGGAGGGGGTCGAGACAGCGGCACACGTGTCCAGACTCCATCAGGGAGGGACGACGGGGCCAGCAGACCTTCCCAGGGGCGCGGGGCAGGAGGGGTCCTGAGGAGGCCCCTGGTGGGGTCCTTCCTGTGTCCGACCCTGCATGGTGAAGGGGCCAGAGCCCCGATGTCTGGCCTGCAGAAACTTAAGATTCGTAGGTGTGTCTGGGAGCCAGACACACCCCAGTATGGCTTCATTTGGCTTTGACGTTTCTGTAGTCTTGACACAACGCCTGTGTGTCTGAAAGAGCATTTGTATGGGAGGCGGGCGGGTGCAAAGGGACCGGGTGCCCATCCTCTCTCCTCGGGGAGCGTGCCCGCTGCGGCCATCAGGTGTCCCCTGCTCGGAGCCAGGGTGCCCCCCCCCCATGCCCTCCTGTGGCTTACCCAAGTGCAGATCACGTGTTTGAGATTCAAGGGAACCCCAGCCGTAAATTCCCTCTTTGGCAGCTGGTTAAGCAGCATGGCGAATGTTGGCAGATCTCAAGCTGCTTTGGCACACGAGTGACGCGTGTGTGTCTCCCGCCCGTACACGCGCCGTGTCTGCACCTTCTGCACAGAGATGATGCGGGAAAACGACCTCCCAGGGAGTTTCTTCCCTCGAAAGCAGGAGGAGGTGGTGGGAGACGGTGGAGCTGTTTGGAACGGGCTTTGCAAGCTGTGCGCTTCGAGAGTCGGGCAGGCGGCTGGGGCCCTTGAGCTCCTTCCTGTCTTCGCCGCGGGTGAACACCACGGCTGGGACCAGTCCTGCCCGCAGTCTGCTGGAGGAACTGATCAGAAAGCCCTTTCATTTTCTTTTGTGTCTCCTGTCCACCTGTGGACAGATTTTCTGGTCTTTGGTGCCGACGGGGGCTTCCGGGTGGCTGCGTACAGACGTAGACCTGTGGAACGTGGCCTGGCTACCTGTCCCCCGTGTGCAGCCTCCGCTGGCTCGGCCGCCGACCCCGGCCACAGCTACCGAGCAGGCTTGCAGTGCATGTGGTTGTCGTCCCGGGGCATTCGCGCTTGTGCTGACACTTTGGGGGACAGCGGGACGAGGCCACCCCAAAGAGAACTTCATAGAGATTCGACACATGTTGTACCGTACAAGGTTTTCTTACTCCTCCCTGCGTGCATGCTGGAGTAAATCAAAGGGTAGAGAGGGGGTCTGAGTGATGTGTGCACCCAGCACCCATGAGGAGCCCCTGGGGCCAGCACTGTGCATGGACCGGCCAGCACACAGGCACACGGTAGTGGGCACACGCGGGGCCACCGGCCCGGCTGCACATTTGGGATCTGCTGCCAGTCAGCCGCCTGCGGCCCTGGAGACCGGAAGGGGCGACCGGCCGTCTCTGGCTGCCGTCCTGACCTGCCTGGGTCGGGGTCTCGGGCTGGGGCTGGGCGCGCAGAGCCGAGGGTCCCGTGCTGAGCTGGGGCTCGCCTTCGAAAAGCAGGAGCCACAGACTTGTGATTGTCACAGTTGGGGGGAGGGACACGGGTGCAGGCTCCACTCTGTCCAGATACTTTACACGAGTGACATTTGCCACATGTGCTTGTCTTAGGAGTGGAGTGATGTGCGGTGGTGGGGGTGGATGGGATTCCTTGTTCCTTACTGGCATTTGTGGTCACAGACATGCTTATTGTACATCCCCCGCTAAACCTTCATGATATGAGAACCCACGCCTGCTTGGTGATGGGCGCTCTGACCCCTCTGACAGGCAGGGGGCCCGTCCAGGGTCTTTGCGTGGGGTGGGAGGTGAGGGCAGAGGGACCCTGTCAGAAGTGTGAGGTGCTTACAGAGCCTCTCCTCCCCCAGGGTGGGGGGGACTGTAACAGCCCTGTGGCCTGGCCCCGCGTGGCTCTGGGCTGGAGGACAGACGGAGAGGCTGCCCGCAGTGTGGGGTGTCCAGGGATCCCGACGGGGCTGCGTGCCCAGGCTGTGCTCCCCAGGGTCACACCTGGATGCTGCGGCCCCCCTCGCTGTGAGCAGTGGGGGCTGGGGCCCCTCCCAGAACCCTAGGAAACCTCCGGCTTGGGGTTAGGCCCCCGCTGCAGGGGCCCTAAGCCGCCGTCGCTTTGCAGGTACGTTCAGTTCCTCAGTGGGCTCCTGTCGGGGACGGTGAAAATGAACACATCGCCACTGTTCCTGCATTTTGTCATCCTGCACGGCACTCCCAACTTTGACACGGGCGGAGGTGAGTGTCCGCTCCCAGCGGGGTCTCGAGGTCTGCTGGCCCGTCCCAGACCCTGCACTTGACAGGCCCCCCTTTCTCCCACGGAGAGGCTCACATGGGATCCGGGCCCCGGGCGTCCTGGTCACCGGCCGGAGAAAGCCAGTGAGGGGGGGGCTCCTCTCCCCAGGGACCCCGGTGACCTTATACCAGCGCTGCTTCTGAAGCTCGGGCATAGCCCGGGGCCACCTTGTCTCTCTTTTGCTGTTGGCCACACTCCTGTGTCTATAGATGATTCCGCCTCTCTTCCAGCGTGCCGGCCCTTTCTGAAGCTCTACCAGGCCATGCAGCCCGTGTACACATCGGGGATATAGTAAGTGTGCCGCCTTCACAGGAGATGGGCCTTGCCGAGCCGCCTGTCCTGCGGGAAGGGGTGGGGGCGTCCAGCCGGGAGTGCCTGGCCACCAGTCAAGGCAGGTGCACGGTTGGCTCCAGAGAGCGGTGTGGACGCGGGGCCTGGAGGGTGAGCAGGCCCCAAACTGGATGGAAGTAGCCATACCAGAGTCCCGTGCTTTTCTCTCCCCCATGCGTTTTATTTTTTAAATTTAATTTAATTTAATTTTCTTACTGCTTATTTTTGAGAGGGAGAGAGTGCAAGTGGGGGAGGGGCAGAGAGGGAGGGAGAGACAGAGCGAGAGCAGGGGAGGGACAGAGAAGAAGAGCGCAGAACCGAGCCGGCTCAACGTGTAGGCGCTGTCCTTTTGAGCTGGGGCTCGAACCCACAAACTGTGAGATCATGACCTGAGCTGAAGTCTGACGCTTAACCAGCTGAGACCCCCCTCCACCAGGCCCCTAGATGTTTTATGAGCGTTAGTATAAAGGGCGTCAGGTAAGATGTGGCCTCATGGTGCTGCCACCGCTCAGAACGAGCTGCCGTCCTGTGTCTGGACTGACCGTGGACCCACACATGGGTGGCAGCTTGGCCGTGATGCACTCGACTTGGATCCCGGAGCCTGGCGGGATGTTTCGCGTCATCTCTGAGTTTGCGTTACAAAGTCGCTTTTCTCACACAGCGTTTCTGTTAAGTCCTGAGGTTGCATTAAGCTCTACCTTGTTTATCCCCAAGCAACATCGGCCCAGGAAACCAAGGCAGCGTCCACATCGCCATCGAGCCGGCCCAGCTGCTGAAGGGGGACATCATGGTGAGTGCACGCGGTGTGTCCCCCTCCTGGTCAGCGCCTCGAGGAGTGAAGGGTGGCCTTTACTTTGGGGCAGCTGGCTTGTTGTCTGAGTGAAGCTGTTTTACTTGGTTTAAAATTGTTCTAATGTTTATTTACTTTTGAGAGAGACAGAGCGTGCGTGGGTAGGGGCAGAGAGAGAGAGGGAGACATGGAATCTGAAGCAGGCTCCAGGCTCTGAGCTGTCAGCACCGAGCCCGATGCGGGGCTCAATCTCACAAACCATGAGATCGTGACTTGAGCTGAAGTTGGATCCTTAACCGACTGAGCCCCCCAGCCTTCCCAACCTTTCTTTTTCTCCCACCCAAAAAGTAGCTGCTATCAATCCAATGTTTCTCCTTTTTGTAAAATTGCATTTCCAAGTAATGAGAAAGACAGAGTATGAGCAGGGGAGGGGCAGAGAGAGAGGGAGACACAGCATCCGAAGCAGGCTCCAGGCTCTGAGCTGTCAGCGTGGAGCCCGATGCGGGGCTCGAACCCATGAACCACAAGATCATGACCTGAGCTGAAATCAGGAGTTGGACAATTAACTGACTGAGCCGCCCAGGCACCCCTAGAGCTATTTTAGTAGAAGGGACAGAGCGAATGGTGAGAACCGCTTAGCAGTATGTTCTCCGAAATGCGAGTCCCGGCTCAGCCACTGCCCTTCCGCGGGTCCCTGGTCCTGGCTGTGATGTGCGATCTCAGGCGTCCTCAGAGGCCCCCGTGTGCAGTCCAGCTAGCGAATCACAGCTTGGCTGATGTCCTAACCAGCGGTTCCTCTGGATGAGTTTGATTCCTGTATGTACTGGTTCTGGGATGAGATTAGCTGCTACATTTTTGCCTTTTCTCTGTCTTGAATGTAGAAAGAATCTTCCGTCTAATGAATTTTAGAGAAATTTCCCTTGAAACCTTGAGGCAGTATGGCTTCCCACGCACACTGAATTGATTTGCTTGAGTGTCTCCAGGGCCTGGGAGCACCTGTGACCAGATTGGAAATGGCTCATTCCAAGTTTTTGAGGATTCTTATCAATTTCCCTTAAACCTTTGGATTTTTTTTTCAGTTTTTATTTATCTTAGAGAGAGAGAGAGCGAGCAAGCATGCATACGGTGTGCAAGCGGGGGAGAGACAGGGAGAGAGAGAAGAGAGAGAATTTTAAGCAGGCTCCATTCAGCACAGAGCCTGATGTGGGTTTCAATCCCATGACCCTGGATCATGACCTAAGCCGAAATCAGGAGTCACATGCTCAAGTGACTAAGCCACCCAGGCGCCCCTAAAAGGTCTTAAAACCCTTTCTCAGTGGTTGACCCATCCTGAATTCTCATGCAAGTCAGGTCAGGGGGGTCACAAACGTAGGTGCCCTGGGCACCGATGTTACATTGCTGTGTCCCTGCGAGAGTTCTCCTCAGGTGCACATCACAGCTTGTCCCCTGTCCCTGGGGACCTCGCTGTGAAAGAGGCTGGTGTCCTCATTCCATAGGCCACAGAACTGAGGTGTCGGGTGGGCCACTGTGTTGCACCGTCCCCGGGGAGGAAAGGCTTCTCTTCTAGAGTGTTCTGAGAGCAACTCCCAGCCTTTTCCCTCTGGTGGGGAGACCGAGGGGGAGAGGGGAGGGTGTGTCTTCCAGGACCTCCTCGATTGTTGGCCATCGGGCAGAGCAGTGAGGAAGCACCTGCTATGTTCTGGACCCCACCCCCTCCCAGGGCTGCACATGGCTGTGGCTTCTGTCTGCCCGCTCCGTGCACCGGTCTGGTGTTCCAGCTTTAAAAAAGAGGCCGGGGATGAGGAGGCCAGGAGAGGCTAGCGGGGACGCTGTTAAGGACGTGCACCCAGATCCCTAAGTCACTACTCCTGGGCAAGGCAGAGGCCTCTGGAGGCCCTGTCCCTGGGATGGGTGCTCCCTGTGGTCAGCAGCTAAGTCCCCTTTTGGGGACCTGAGGGAGGTGGCCGAAGCCCTGAGGTGTGGAAGATGACTCTCAAACGCGGGGGGCCTCCCTCCCACCTGATTGTGGGCTGGTGGCTGCGGGGTCTTTGTGAGGCGGTGGTGGAGGCCTGGCCGGCGGCCTGGGTCCCTCATCCCCGCCTCCTCCCTCCTTTCCTTCTCTTCTCCTCCCCCCTTCCACACCCTTCCCCGTCCCCTCCCTCCTTCCTTCCTTCCTTACCAGGAATTTATTTACGCAACTGTCCTGTTTTGAATGTTTTGAGCTTTCTGGGTCTCTGTGTGGCACAGGAAGGAAGGGAGTGACAGGGTGACATCTTCGTCCCGGAGGAGGCTGGTGGGGCCGTGGACCTTCTGTGGGAGACGGATCCCAGGACGGGCCACGGTGGGTGAGGCGGGCGGGCGGGTGGGCGGGCGGAAGGGTGGTCTGACTCGGGTGCAGGCATGTGGCAAGGGCACGGGGTCCCCAGGCCTCGAGGCGCCAGAGGCTTGCTGGGTGTGTCCCGATGTCTGGGTGACAGTCAGTTGCTGCCAGATTGTGTGGGCTTGGAGGCTTGCAGTTTTCTTGTGGGAAAGCTGGCGTTCCCGAAGCTCTTCTCAGCCACCTGAGAACATGCCGCTCACCCTGGAGGGTCACCCTTGTCAGCGCAAGTGTGAGCAGCAGGGAGGACAGAGGGGTCAGGACCCTGCCTTGGTGGGAAGCGGGGCCGCACCGAACGGCCGCACGTGGGTACTGGCCGCGTCCCCAGGACTGGCTTTGGGCCCCGTGTCTGGGCTCCCACCAGCGCTTCGGCCTGCAGGGTCCGGGTGGCCTCGGAGGCCCGCCTCCATGAGCTCGAAGGCCCCTTCTGCTAAGTGAGGACCTCCACGGGGTGAGGGGGTCAGGTGAGTTAGGATGGCTGGCTCCACGGCCTTCACCCCAGAAACCCCGCAGGCCCCGGCCACGTGCCTGTGTCTGTCCCACCCCTGGAGGCTCAAGGTAACCTCAGGAGCGGGTCAGCTGGAATGCAGCTGAGAGGTAGCGTGAGAGGCTGTGGGAGGGGTCCGGTCTGGCACTTGGGGTCCGGGAGGCAGGTCGGGAGGGGAGCCGGCGGGGGCGGGAGGCCCGGCCGATGCGCGGGTGCCTAGAGCTGGCGGGTCACACGGCGAGCTTGCCCACGTGACGTCCCTCCAGCTGGAAGCCATCCTGTGTGTTGGGCACGCTTCTACCTGTGCTGCATTCACATGGAGGGTGCCTCTGGGTGCCTACGGCTGCGTGACAGGTGCCTGTCACCGCGTGCACTGGCCCACGTGGTTCTCAGGTGTACTCGTGATCTGATCCAGTGGCTGCAAGGGGCTCGCTGCGGCGTCTGGCTCTTCCTTGGGCCTCCTTTGCTATGGCGGGAAGTCCAAAAAAGCGATCAGGGGGCACTTCTGTGGCTATTTCGTTCCCAGCTCGCACTTGTGAGCTGCTGGGGCAGAGCAGAGGTGTTCAGAGGCACAGATGTGGGCGCGGGGGCCCCCGGGTCCCTGGGTGGATGAGGCCAGACTGGGCTGGCAGCTGGGCCGTCAGGAGGGGGCTGTGCGGCCGATGCTCACGGTCCTTGGGGATCTGTGAAGTGAGACCTACCACGGTGTCACGAAGCGGGGGAGCACAGACAGGTGTGGGTCGAGTGGCGGGTCCACGAGAAGACGCGTGGCAGCAAGAACCCT